TTTCATTATATCCGGGGAGGAGCGGAACAGAATCGTATGCACTTTACGACAGGGCTTGCACTATTGTTAGCGACAGGCGGCTAGAGATGTGAGCGGCAGGGGGCCCTGAAGGGGGCTCTTGCTCTCCGCTCGGAAGGGCGGCCAGGGCTCTGTTTTGAGCGACTGGAGGCCTGGGTTAGGACGCTCTGGAGGCCCTGAGAGGGGCTTCCTAGAACGGAGTTCAGGGAATGAGATTTTAAGGGGATGCCTCGGCGGCCCTGAGAGGGGCTTCCTAGGCTCGGTTGTAAGGTCACTGTCGTCCCAGAGGATAGGGAGCCTGGCGCGGTTCTCATGCGCTACGACGCGCGAGGCTTTCTGCTCCAGATTCACGCGGTTACACCAATATTCGGACGACACAGACGTTACAGGCGCTCTGAATCGCTTTAATTATGCCCGAGAGGAAGGAGAGTGAAAGAAGAAGATAAAAAAAAAGAAAATGAATTTTAGACATTTTATTCTATTTTGATTTCAAGAGATGGTTCGACTCGTGAAATTGATATCGCGTACATGGAGACGTTGAGGTAACTAGTAATGAAAAATATAAAATATTGAATAAAATTGATGAGATTCATGTATTCGAATTCTTCGTACGCGATCGTTTCCGAAAATTAATATTTTAACAAAACGGAGGGTAGTGCGACTGAGACGGAAGTGCCACGTGCAACTTACTTTGCTTCGCGGTGTTGCACGGCTATCCTTGAACGTGCCTGCTATGGAGGATGGCCCTCGGGATTTTTGCGAATGAGCACCCCGCTTCTAAGAAGAACTCTCTGAAGGGGACTATTAGGCTAGCTCTCACTCTGACACTCTGACACTGAATCTCTAACTCTGAGACTCTGATTCTCAAAAGTATGAAGACAGAAGACCGACTGAAGACGAAAGGCAGAAAAGTCGACTGACTGACTTTGGTGTGCGCTTTTATATCGTTAGAAGTGGTGGTGCTGAGCGGGAAAGGGGGTTGACCTGTCAACAGTTACTTGAATCTTTTGAAATGTTCTAGAAGTTTCGATCTAATGAGATTTCGTTAGATTTTACTGTCTTAAAGGAGGAAATTGCCAAATTTAAATGTTGACAGGGCCCTCTTAGTCGCTCCGCCCCTGTGCTGCATAGTGTGCAGTCGCTGTGCGCGTTTATTCCGTGTTTTCCGTCGAAGGATGTTTTCCTTTTTTTTATGAATAGAGTTTTGGATACAGAGCGTTCGTGCGTTACTTGTATCGCGAAGCTTCTAACGGACTTCCGCAGG